GAAGATCTAGGCTCTAATCGAGCATTCTATCGGCCTAGGACTCAGTCTTACCCCCAAAACTTAGGCTTCAGGCCAATTCCAGTACATGGCTAGGGACTGAAGCCTTAGGCTCAAGGGCCACACTAGTGCCAAGCCAGTCCTTTTGGACTGAGGCTTCATAACAGCCCCTAGGAGGAGTAGAGTATCCAAGCCCGCTCCAAGTAGACATGATCAGAATGTCCACCTTAGTGAATCCAGGATCCAAGTTCACCTAACTGCTTCTCCAGGTACCAAGCTAGCTAACCTGAAGACTTCAGTGTTAACTTTGTTCATAAATCACATAAGACAACCTGCCCAGAATTTAGCCTTAATGTAGCCGTTCCACTATATATCATATACATATATATATACAAGAATGTATATACACATTTTGTTGTATATGATATATACATTAATAATTTGTGAATTTAAAAATATTTTTAAAGTGAATTATCATTTGGCACTCTTCCCTCTCTACTCAATACCTCAGTTTTCCTCTATTTTTAACATCTTGCTTTTGTGTAGTACATTTGTTACAGTGAATGAATCTATTGGCACATTATTAAAGCTTTGTAGTTTACATTAGGGCACATTCTGTCCTAGTTCTATATGTTTTCACAAATATATAACATGGACTTATCATCACAGTGTCATGCGGAAGTTTCATTGCCCTAAAAATTCCCTTAAACTGTATGTATGTATATTTATGTTCCCAACCTGCCCATACTTATGGCATCCACTGTTATTTTTACTGGTCCTACAGTTTTGCCTTTTCTTCAGTGGCATATGAATGGGGTTATAGCATGTAGCTTTTTTTGCATGTGTGGTGTACATGTCTCCATGTATGTGCACATGTGTGCACACATGCATGTGGAAGCTTACAATTGTCATCAGGAGTCTTCTAGATCACTCTCCACTATATTCATTGAGGCAGGGTGTCTTAATTGAAACCATACCTCACTGATATGGGCTAACAGAGCTTCCTCTAAGGATTCACTGTCTGCCTTCTCAGTGCTGGAATTACAGGTAAGCTACCCTGCTGTTGCACTTAACTGGGTTCTGGGAATCCAAAACAGCAGTGTTCACACTTCCATGGCAAGTTCATTATCCAAGGAGACATCATTCCATCTGTATTTAGGCTTTTAAGGCTGACTTTAAAATTTTTTGAGACAGGGTCTCATTTTGTATTCTAGACTCGCCTAGAGCTATGTAGGCCCAGCTGTCTTCAGACTCATGACAATCTTCTTGCCTCCATCTCCTGAGTGCTGAAATTACAGGTATGTGCCACCATGCAGGAATACTGACTTCTGATAGCAATCAGCAGTCAAGGTACCCTCATATCTTTTCATAGCTTGATAGCTCTTTTCAGGAATGTTATTCCATGACATGTAGGTAACATGTATGTTTATCTGTTCTATTAAAGAATATGCTAGTAGTTTCCAAGTTTGGTGATTACATTTCTCCTGTAAACATTCATGTGGAGTACTTGTGTAAGCATATGTTTTCAATTCATTTAAATATTAAGGAATATGATTGTCAGATTGTATGATGAGACTGTGCTTCATCTTGTAATTAACTGTCTAACTGTTAAAGCAACTACATCATTTCATATTTCTATAAATAATAAATTAGGTGTCCTCTTTGTCCATATCATTACCCTTGTTTGGTGTTATATTTTGGGTTTTAGCAAAGAAGCCAGTCAGAAAAGGCCAAATATTACGATTTAATTGATATAAACGTCTATAATTCATAGTAGATTACGGTTGGGAAGATGGCTTGGTAAGTAAAGTGCTTGCTTTGCATGCATGAGAACCTGAGTTTAAACTTCAACACAGAGAACTCCTGGTGAAGTGCACTTGTAATCCCATTGCTGAGGAGGTGGAGACAGGAGGATCCTGGAGCTCACTGGACAGTCAGCCTAGCCTAATCAGGAAGCTGCCAGCGCCAGTGAGAGATTATCTCAAAAACCAGGGTGGGTGGTACCTGAGGAATGACATCCAAATTTGGCCTCAGGCCTCCACAATTATGAGTACAACATATGAACATGCATGCACAGTTGCATGCATGTATGCCAGATGCATATACACAAGCACACAGAGAAACTGCATTAGTGGTTGCTTAGAGGAGAAATTGGATTGATTAGTAATGCACATGTGATTTCTTTTTATGGTGAAATTAGACTGTAGTAATAGTTTCACAACTCTTGCTATTCTAAAATCAACTGAATAAATGTTGACTTTTGTGGTACATCAATTATAGCTCAATAAAAGCTCATTTTTAAATGGGACTAATAGCTCCCACCCACACCGTAGTACTATTGAATAACTGAGCACATATGAAATATTTTACATGATTTAGCACTCAAATATTTGGTGGAACCTAAGAATATTTTCCAATTTTCCAGTTTCCCCAGAATTAAATGGAATGTACTACTAAGATAAATCTAAGAACCCCAAGTCAGAAGCAAGTTTAAATGCCTGCTCCTTTTTTACTCACACATGGCCTACTGACTGGGATTTGAGGAACAAGACTTTGCTCTCTCCTTTTCTTCCCCAGGCCAAGTAACCCTTTTCCCCACTTACCTGAGCAAGCAGATCCCTTAACCATACACCTTTCTCCACTTGTGAACCTTTCTCCTCCCTCTCAGAAGAAAGTTTAAGACACAAATCTCTTTAAATTTGAGGAAAAGTACTGAAATGAAACAATATTTCAAAATATAGGAGAATCCCTAACAGTGACAACTGACACCATCCTTCCAGTGCTTTCCTTATGTATTTTGACAACTAACTGCTTAACCGATAATAGGGACAACCCATCATGAACTCTCCATAACGGACTGTATTTCACAGGTATTTGGGAATCATAAGTCTAGGAAATCATTACTGTCTGAAAACCCCAAAGACCCAAGATGCTGAAATCTGGACTTGGTCCTATAACCAAGGTCCATCTTCAGGCTATAAAATAAAATAAAAATATACTTAAAAAAAATTATGGGTATGAGTGTTTTGCCTGCATATGCGTAAATGTACCATGTGTGTGCAATGCCAGAAGAGACTAGAAGACAGTGTCAGATTCCCCAGAAATGGAGTTACAGATGGTTAGCTGCCATGTAGGTGCTGGGAGTCGAACCCAGGTCCTCTTGGAGAACAGCAAAAGTTCTTAACTGCTGAGTCATCTCTCCAGTCCCGTTTTTATATCTACCTCAGGAAGGGTAAACAGCTAAATGGGAAGCCCAAAGTTGTTCTCCCACTTCAGTTTATAATATACAATTATTTTTTCCCAAACTGCAGTACACAAGAGCATTGCTTTCATAATCATTTGTAATTTGTATAATTTTGAAATCACCCAACTTTATATACAAAGTACATGTTATATTTATTTTGAAGGAAAATATATAAGTATGAATATACAAATATTGAGGTATTCTGTATCACAAAAATATCATGTTTTGTGTTCCTTAAAAGACTTACTGGATTTTCAGCACTAGTCATTCAGAACACAGTTGTGACACAAGTAAAACCCTTCAAAAGGAGCTCCACCTCTTTTCAGTAATGCCATAGTATATATAAGGGAGAGCATATAGTGCTATGTAAAGAGAGAAAAGATACCTAGTTGAGCCTGCGTTGTCATGAGAGTACTGAAGAATAATGCCTGATGTGATTTCTAAGTAGATATACGAACAAAAGGATGCCAAGGAATAGTTCCCAGATTGAAAAATAAAATTCGTTTAAGTATAGATTTGCAAGATAATCAGTCCAGTGGGAATCAAGTGTTGAGAAAGGAGTAATTAACTGAGTTGATTTATGATAAATGGAAAGAAACATGCGAATTAACAGTTGACAAGCATGTGTACCCACCCCTTAATCAGTCCAATCCCACTGAGAATGGTGATGAGACTAGTCAACAGCTAGGCAAGTACAAATACATACTGGGCTTCTTTAGCAGGCACATTAGTGACAGCAGCTCACTAGTAGTGAGTGCAGTCTTAACAAAGTAGAATTGAGGAGCCTCCAGCCTTGCCCATTGAGGATTAGGGTTGAGATCTGGGTCATAGCTTTAGGGAACAAAGGATAAAGATTCCTTCTGCCCACCTTCTCCCAGTCTCCAAAGCATTGAACTCTTTACAAGAAAAGTTATTATTTATTTGCAATATAGTCCCAATACTTAAATGCAGTATGGAAGTATAAAGGAGTCATGCTGGGCTGAGAATATAGCATAGTGGCAGAGCATATGCTTTCTATCCTTAGCACCACAAAAAAAGAAAAAAGAAAGAAAGAGAGAGAAAGGAAGGAAAGAAAGAAGAAAAAGAAAGAAAGAAAGAGAGAAAGAAAGAAAGAAAGAAAGAAAGAAAGAAAGAAAGAAAGAAAGAAAGAAAGAAAGATTCAACAGAATCACACTGCAAGCATCATTAGTCCAAGGGAGAGTTCCACACCTCCCCATCCCCAATAGCAAGTTCATATTTCTGAGATTCATGGCCAGAAGAGACCAACTAGACACACAAAGTAGGTGAGCCCAGAAGGAAGTCAGGACCCGGCATGTTCTGTTACCATGGACCAGTGCTTTTTTTTTTTTTTTTAACAAAGTCATTATTTAAAAAGACAAAGAGCACATCTCCAAAGGAACATTTTACTCAAGCACTGAGGACTCTGACTGGCTGAATTATACTGGTCCATGCTAGAATATCAGTAGCAAAAACATTTTTTATAAAAAAAAAAAAAGAGCTCACAAATAAGGGAAGAGACTTAAACAATGCTTAAGATAACTAATTAATGATATTTTAAATTATTTTTAATTATTAAGATGTAATCTTAACATTAAAGTGTTCTTATGTTTTAAGCATAAACAGTATTTGTGGTTTACAAAAAGAGGGAATAGAACCTATATTGGATAGAAGCTCACTGGCAGCTTTAACACTTATATTGCTTTATTTTAAACCCTTCTGCAATTTTTTGGGAAACCTAAACTTCACTGTAACTTCATTGTCATCTACATGTGCAAGACTGGGCAATCTTACCCTCATAGTCCCATTTGCCTCAATCATAAGGATACTCATAGGAAGAAACTTGTAAGGGACACAGGAAGGCTGAGGTGCAGTGTGGTTCACTAATTCATTAACAAGGCTCTGATTGATGGCGTTGTTGGGGGAATTGAGACTACAGGGTAGCACCCAAGTGCAGACTTTGGGGTACAGAGCTGGAGAGCAATGATCCAGTGATCCCAGCCTAGTTGACAGAAGCTGATTTTATAAGAGTAGAGGGAGCACTGGTTATATGAAGTCTCTGAGAAGAACAGGGAACATCAGATGCAAGACTGCATGCTTATTAGGCACTTTGCAAGAGAAGACTCCCTTTCAATTAACTCCTCTTGGCCTCTTAGTTTTGCCTTCTGAATACTCTTGTGAATGTCATTGAAATAAAGCACCAAGAAGGTGATGTCCAAAGATGGAATGCTGCACCACTGAAGCTCAAGAAATGCATTTTCTTTTTGCTGATGAGACATGAAACGGAGGCATAGGACTCTGCATCCTTTGTGTCCCTTGTGATTCCAGAGTCTCTGCTGAATAGTGTGTGATGTCCATGCTTTAGACATGGGAAAGGGCTTTGAGCAACCTGTTTCTGAAGAATAAAAGTGGTTGGTTGGGAATTTTGGGATCCAGAGCTCCACATGACAGGAGAAATGCCAATGAAGTAGATAAAGCTAATAGTAGTAAACTACAGTGGTTCAGATTAGTTGGTGTGATCCCTGGATTGATGCTAGAGGAAAGGCCAGGGTCTGCATATGCCAGGGACTTGCACAGATGAGAGAGAAGAGAGAAGGTCATTTCTCACCTCGTCTCTAAACACCTCTTATAAACTGATAGCTGTAATTGGCTCTGAAATTAACTCAAGATAACGATACTATCACTTATTGAACATTTACTAGTGTACCATCTAGTACATGTATAAATTCTTTAATTCTCAATAATCTTATGAGCTAGTTGGCATCATTATTTTTCAGACAAGGAAACTGAGGCTCATAGAAACCGTATTAAAAGACACCCAGACCAAGGCTAGGGATGCAGGTTAGCATAAGCAAGGTTCTGGATTATATCCCCAGAGCTGAAAAAAGAATACATGGCACCAATACATGCTAAAATTAAGACATGAACCTAAGTATAATTCTGTCTTACTTTTGGGTCATTCATAGTTTAAACTCAAATATAAGATTATTTGGTATGTATTATATATATATATATATATATGAAATTGTATTAGCTGACTATTAAAGGTGACCAATTAAGAGAACTATTGAGACACACATGGATTAAGAATGGATTCCCATGTCGTGTCACTATACAGATTCAGTTTTAGGGCAAAACTTCAGTATTAGGTAGTATACCTTCCATCATTTCAAAGCCCAGGACCAAAACACCACAAAACAACTTTATCTGGTACAGAGAGACAGCTATTTTTACCATCTTTGCTTTTCTGCCTTCCAAGCAATCTCAAGAACCTGCCTCGTATCTTCTTTTCCTTCTTTGTCCATTTCCCCTTTAGCTCAGTCTCCTTCTTTTCCTCAGGTTTGGCCCATTCATTTTACAAGCATTTCTCTAAATACCATTTCAATAATAACCTTAATAGCCTAAACATCTTTGTTGGCTGACAAACATACTTAAAGCTGTGTGTGATGCAGTGTTCAAGAGCTTCAATCCAAGTTGTTATGTGACCAAAGGTTTGGAAGCCTTGGCTTGAAGATCTCTGAACTTCCTGGTAAATATCAAGATTAGACTACAAAAAAACAGGCTATCACAGGAAAAAAACCTTCTCTCATGTTCCAAAATCTTAGTATTATTTACCTAACCTTCCTTTGCTACTGAATGTACAAGTCTAAAATTATCTAGGACAACTGGCACTTTAACAAGTTCTTTAATGTCTTCGTATCCGAAAATACATTTAGAAATTCACATTCCAACTCATGCCTGACACACCCTCAAGGTTTGGGGCACTAGCCATCATTCACAGGGGACCCATGCTATAATTGTATTTGCGTCCTCAAGTTATTCCACATTCCCCTCTTATAACAATATTGCCAAGAGGTTCATCCGTACACCTGCCCCACTCTGAAAAGGAATCAGACCCAAGCCTCTAGCAGGCTGTCTGGTGAGGAACTCTTTCCTTTCAGACATTGACATTACATGTTTCCTGAAGTAGGGTGGGCTTGCAAAGGACCTGAGCCAGGAAGGGTCTGCTCAGAACTTTTCAAGGGAAGGGGTGACTCACACATCCTGTGTGACTGAACCTGACATCTACTTCTGAATCCTTTCCACAGCCTCTAGATGCCAGTATGTTCTACACTTAGCTCAAGATACTTAAAATTCTAGGCATCTTTCTTTTAAGCTTCATATTGTCTGTGCAGATTTGTGAAGCTTTCTGCTACATTTAGTAATGAATCCAAGATTCCTTCTCGTGTCCTACAATGCAATTTTCTATAATGCTCACAAGGCTCTGGCCCCACTAATCCTTTTAAGTGGGACATGGTTGTTTCCACTTTCTAGGCCTTTGCATGTGTTGTTCCTTCTGCCTAACATGATGTTCTATTTTTCTCATATAACTTCTTACAGGTCTCAGCTCAAATGTGTGTAATTCAAGGATATCTTTTCTGTTTACCCTGTGGAAAGATATGATTCATTGCTATTCTCTAATAATTCTCTTGCCACAATTTGCAATTATTTGTTTGCTCATTTATCTCCCACATGGGAAGTATGCTCTATGAGAGTAGGGGTTGTGCCTATCTTAATCACATAACTATTTAATCAGTAGTTGAATACTGCTGAATGAACCTGTACACACTAAATGCCTAGCATTCAGTAACTGAATATAGCTGAATGAACCTGTGCACACTAAACCATTTTCTCTTTCCTAAATGATAGGCAATTCATTGCCTATATGCATAGTCTCCTCACTCCTTTCTCAAATGCCACCGCAAATGTTGCTGTTTCGATGAAGCCTTCTAACGGTCTCCCTGCTTCGCTTTTCTCTTTAAGAGCAGTGAGTCATTCTTCTTTGGAGTCCTAGGAGCCCTCTTGCTTAACCCCTTCAAAGCACTTGCCAAATTGTAACATCACTATGTGACTGTTATTCATTATTCAGTTCTAGGAAATCATAGAGGCTAGAGAAGCAGTTATTTTCCTCTGTATACCAAACTCAAATACATTACCTGGTGCTCAGTTTAAATCTATTGAGGATTCATTGTGGTACAGTAATTGAAATTACAGATTGATGACTCAGAGCCTGATTTATATCTGGCTTTACTAGTTCCTAGCTGTGTGTTGTTAGTGAAGCCATTCAGAGCTTCAGTTTATTCAGCTATAAAATGATTATGCTACCAACTTCCTGTGGTAGTAGTAAGGATTAAGACAACATTTCTAAGTATTTTTTAAACACCCAATATACATTAAGCTCACCATAAGGATAGCTAGGGGAATATTGGGTGTTTTGGTTGTAGCAAGGGGAGTGCATCCTGTCTTCTGGTACCTCTGAGACTAGTGAAGGCCTCATATTGATCTCTTTAGATTCCTAAGAATTCCTTGAAGTTGATACCTGTCTACCTCCCATAGAAAGCCATATACTACAGGAGTCTGGTGCTGTTTGGGAATATATATTCACACAGAATCCATTATAATACAGACAAAGATAATTCCAAAGTATATAGGGTACCAAAATTCCAAAGAAGCAACTTGGACCAAATAGCAAAAGTACTTGGTATATAATAGTGCTTGGTATATTTTGGGATAGTGCATTTTTA